TCTCTCTCTCTCTCTCTCTCTCTCTCTCTCTCTCTCTCTCTCTCTCTCTTATAATGAATTCCAGCATGTGCTGCAAACAGCTGCTTGTGTCTTTCCTCCTTCCTAAGATCTATCCTAGAAGTGCACTTTAGTTTAGCTTGCTTTACAGAAAAGTTAATATCCGCTATTTAAAGTGGCTGAAAATTCACAAGGACATCACACCCTCCCGAGATCTCAGTGTTCTCACATTAGAGGTTTATGATAGCTTAACTTTTTTCATCTATTATTTTTGCAAGATCTTGAGGTGAGAGTGCTGAAGTCTTGTGAGATCTTGGCCATTTTCAGAATTTCTATTGGGAGGGTGCCAAGAACCCTGGAAGGGTAGCTAAGCCCTAGAAGAAGAGAGATTGTGATCAATGTTCTTGACATTTTCTCAAGCAGCATTTGTATCATACGTAGGCAAAATTGTATGTTATTTCATGTGGAACATTCTTGCTTTTCCTCATGGGTAGGTTTGCTAACCAGAAGCCCTATCCTTTCTCATACAAATTTGCAAGGCTCAGATAGCAATAGGCTGATGGAAATGCAATTCTTTAAACCTTCTTGGAGCCTGAATGTGTACATATCCTACTACTGCATTGAAGGCTATTGTACACACATTTAATTGTGTTGGTGATCTCAGCAAAATGTTTTGTACTGCCCTATACCATGTCCTGAACATCTCGGCATTTATGTTATTTTAGTTCCCATGATTTCTGAATCAAAACATTACCTTGCAGAAAATACAGTGGCCACCAATTGAGACACTGTCTATATTAATGATAACATATACAATTCTTTTGTTAAGCATAGCGACAAGTATTTTTATTAGTACTTGAGAAGAGTGCTTAATTCTCTTTGGGCAGATTCTTCTCAGTGGCCGCAAATGATGAATTGTCGAGAGGCTTCTGAAACTATGAAAAAGATTAAACCTGGAAAAGTGCAGAAAAACCAGATGAATTATTGGCTTCTTATTATAAATGCTTTGATGATGGGCTCTCGCAATCTTTGCAAAACACAATTAATGCTGTCTTGCAGGGAGGACAGATGCCTGAGATATGGAAAGATGCAAATAAACATCAATATCTAGTGAAGGGTTTGGCTTGACAAAAAAATTATAGTCCAATATAATTACTAACTGTTCACAATGATCCTAGCTGATAGATTGAAAATAACTTTACAAGAATTTGTTTGTGAAGAATCAAGCTGGGTTTTTATCTCAAAGACAATTAAAAGATAATGTTAGAAGCATGTTGGATATTTTGGAATATTTTGAATACACGTTTGAGATATTTACAGTGCTGTCATCACACCATTCCTGCCGGGCACTTTCAAAATTACTAGTTCTGTGTTACTCCTGGAGACTGAAGGAAACCAAATAAATGGAAGCTCTTAGCAAATGAGCTTTTTCATTTTCTTTTTCTCAGAATAACAATTTTGCAAACATAAGCATTGGAAGTTTTCCAATCCTAACATCACTTCAAAGCTGGCAAATTTATGAACAGGCCTTCTTTGATTCTAATGCAACTGCTTTCTCTATAGAAAAACAGGTTGCAGTAAGTGTCAGAACTTCCTTCTACCTGAAGGAGCAGGGGTCTCCAACCTTGGCAACTTTAAGACGTGTGGACTTCAACTCCCAGAATTCCTCAGCTGGCTTAAAGTTGCCAAGGTTGGAGACCTCTGCTTTAGAGTACAAGTTAGAGCAGGGGTGTCACACTCCAGCTCCACAAAAGGAAAACAAGTCACGATATGTCACACAACGGCAATGTGATGCGGCAAGTTTGACATCCATGAGTTAGATCATCAGTTGTGCTGGCCTGAATTTCATTGAAAGCCTTGGAGGACAAGAGAACCACTGTTTT